TGGCTCTTTTAAACAGTTTGTTATCCAGGGCTCTGAAGCTGACCAAGGACGTGATGTCCTTCCTGAGTCCTCATTTACCATTTTTCCCTTAGGTGTGCACTAAAGAAGAGCAGGATGTTCTTCAACGGGACTCAAACAAGAGCCAGAAGCTGCTGAAGAAGCTCATGGCAGGTCAGTAGCAATCCCATACCTGGAGTGTGAAGGGTCCCATCAGTCCTCCAGCAGCAGGAAATCATCTGGATCTGAAAATAAAAACTTGCAGCAGACATGATGGCTTCAAGTGTCATCATCCTTCTCTATGAAGAAGGATCGTGTCCTTCCCCAGAGGCCCCTGGGCTGCTCCTTGTGGGTTCCCAAATCGACCATGTGGACTGGGGCCATGTAGAAGTCCTTGAAAATTTGGATAAGGCTCGTGTGGAATGCGTGCTGGGGCAGATGAAGTGCTGCTGAGGGGTACTGGTTAATATTTTCTACTGGTTCTTCTTCTCAAACACTTATTTTGGGAGCTAAAAACAGGAGCAGAGCCAAGGAGAGCGAGAGGAGATAATCCCCAATCATGGGGATGTTTGAGTTTAGCTGAACTACAACCAAGGTCACAAACTTCTTAGTTGCAAAATGCATTTTGTTGAAGAATTGAGGAAGTGTTTACTCTGGGTCCTGGTGTCAACTTGTCTTTGGAGCTGCTGAGATGGAAAGAGGTCCTCTCAGTCCTTAGGAGTAGCAGCTGGTGGTAGTCACAGTGGTTTTGGTTGGTTTCTTGAGGTTTTGTCCCCTTGCTGGAAACAGTAAGAAAGAAAACATGGTTGCTGGGAATCAGTTTCTCCATCTCTAACAACAGATGATGTGAAAAACCTCCTGAGGTGTGTTGGGAGAGGGCTTCCTTTCTGACAGGCTTGTGGAGGAGCAGACAGGCAGCTGGTTCCGTGTTCCATCATCAGTGACCAAGACACTCTTCATGGATAGAAGAACCTTTAGGAGAGAATTTGGCTTCTAAGAGCAGACTGAAGGCTGGTGGTTGGTGCTGGGCAGAATTCAGACTGCCCAAATTGTTAGGGAAGGAAGAAGGAGACTCAAAGCCCAAGATCCCCTCTCTAAGCACTACCTAGACGTGCTCACTGGAGTATTTAAATGCTCCCTCCTCTTTGGAGGAAGAGTCTGTGAAAGGGACTAGAGGAAAAATCGGGCTTTGGAACTGTCTGGGAAAGGTTTTGAGCTTGGTGCAAAGTTCTTCTCTTGGCTCCTTGAAGAGCATTTGGCTTAGGGGGTGTTTCTGCAGCCAAGCCCACCAAGACTGGGCTCTGAAGAGCAGAGTGTTGAGCTGTGGTTTTTCTCTTTCAGGTGCTGAAAGTTCAAGGAATTTGGATGCCATAAGCAAAGATTTGTTGCCTCGACAAGAAGCTAGACTCCAAGCTGGCCTGGAGATGGCTGTGAAACACAAAGACAAGTTGTTGGAGTTTGACAGGACAAGGTGAGGTACTACTGTGAAGTCACAGAAATGTTCTGGCAGGTTGAGGTACCTTGAGTAGAAACCTCAGAGAGTTCCTTCTAAAACCTGGGCTGTAGCTACAGGCACCTTCAGGTTGGTGGAACAAGAGTCAACCCCTTGAATGGGTCCTGTTGGATGTCATTGCTTTGTGTCCCTTATGGTCCAGCAAGCAGACAGTGGGAAGGAATCAGAGGATCACAGACTGGTTTGGGTTGGAAGGGACCTTTCAGAGTTATCTCCTCCAGCCCCTCTGCAGGGAGCAGGGACATCTGCAACCAGAGCAGGTCGCTCAGAGCATTGTCCATCCTCACCTGGAATGGTTCCAGGGATGAGGCAGTGACCACCTCTCTGGGCAACCTGTTCAAGGCAAATTTGGGGCAGTCAGGGTTGTGCTGCCGTCCTGCTCTCCTCATCTTCTCCCTCTCTGGTTGTCTCTTGCCAGCGTGCGTCGAACCCAGGTCATTGATGACGAATCAGATTACTTTGCCACGGATTCCAACCAGTGGCTGTCCAAGCAGGAGAGGGAAGCCCTCCAGAAGAGAGAACAGGAGCTGCGGGAGCTGCGCCACGCCTCTCGCCTCACCAAAAAAATCACCCTCGACTTCGCGGGGAGGCAGATCTTGGAGGAGGACACCAACATGGCCGAGTACCACAAAAAGTGAGGGACAACCTCCACGCCCAAGAGCGGGGAGGTGGAAACAGGGGTGGGGAGAGGGTCGGGTGTGGGGTTTTGTGTGGGGAGGAGGTGGATGTTGCTCGTAGGGAGTTGTCACGCCTCGTGTTTGCACCTGCAGGCTGGATGAAACCGTTGAAGCCGTGAGCTGTGGCACGCTGGGCAAGGCAGCTGGGAGCCCAGACGCCCAGCTGACCCCAAGTTCTGGTGTCCTAGTGAATCCTCGTCTCCTTCAGCCTGCTCCTTTGGTCAGTAGGGGTCGAGTGGTTTGGTCCAGAGGAGTGACTAACTGTGGGAGAGCTGAGTTTAAGAATCATGGCTTGAAGTACCTCCTGTAGCGCCCCTTTCCAGCCCTGTGGCTGAGAGGTCCACATTAGCCATCTGAGTTGGGGATGGAGAAGGTTTGCTGGTGCCCTGGTCTGATCTCTGCTCTTGGTAGCTTTGGCTGATCTCAGTTTTAGTCTCCTGCCTCCTTTCAGGAGGAGGAAATTCTTCCTCCTCAGGAAGAATTTCTGAGAGTCACCCTGAGGTCGTGTCGCTTTTTCAACTATTTTGGAATCCATTTCTGCCAGATGTCCAAAGGGCACAATCTCTACCCTCAAAATTCCAGTTTAATCGTGGTGTTCTTGGTGTGTGCAAAGTGTTTGAGGGTTCGACAGTTCCCAGTTTTTAGCGCTGATGGCTGTGAATATGCTTTGAAACTTCTGTCTTCCTGTGAACACTCTGAAACGCCAGCAAGCAGATTTGTTCTTTAAATCCATAGAATCGTAGAATCATGGACTGGTTGGGTTGGAAGGGACCTTTCAAGATCATTGAGTCCAAGCCCCCTTCAGGGAGCAAGGAGCAACTAGAGCAGGTTGCTCAGAGCATTGTACAACCTCACCTGGAATGGTTCCAGGGATGAGGTATCCACCACCTCTCTGGGCAGTCTGGGCCAGGGTCTCTCAACCTTCAGCATCCAAAATTTCTTCCTTCTCTCGAGTCTAAATCTCCCTCTTTGAGTTTCAAAGCATCCCCCCTTGTCCTGTCCCAGTAGGCCCTGCTCAAAACCCTGTCTGCAGCTTTCTGATACTTCTAAATACTGAAAGACCACCAGAAGGTCTCCCTGGAGCCTTCTCCAGGCTGAAGAACCCCAACTCTCTCCTGCTGGCCTCCCAGCAGAAGGGTTCCAGCCTTTGGGCCATTGTTGTGGCCTCCTCTGGCCCCACTCCAGCAGGTCCTTGTCTCTGCTGTGCTGAGGACTCTAGCTGGGACATGTAGGGAGGTACTGACATTTTCCTTGTTCCTTTTGAACACTCTCCAGTGGGTGGACCAGACGGGTTTGGTGCCGCAGAGGAGAGTCGCCCACTCCATGGACGCTGGGAACGAGCCTGGCTGGGAGCGGAACAGGCTGCGGATTCAGGATCGAGAGCTGCAGGAGATCTCAGATGATGGCTGGTGCCTCAGCATGCACCAGCCTTGGGCCTCCTTGCTCGTAAAAGGAATCAAGAGGTAAAGGGGTGGCCTGAACTGGGATGAGTCTTGCCTCGTAGGCGAGGTGAGAAGTTGGTGCTACTCAGAGGAGCGCTTTGTACAAAGAGTGACCGGTACCTGCTGGTAGCTCCAGGTTTGGAAGCCACGCTTCCTCGTCCATGCTCTGAGAAGCCAAGGAATGTGTTTTTGTGGGAGCAGCCAACCAGGGAGGCTCAACTTTCCTCACTGGGGGCAAATGTAGTGAGAGGCTGAGATGTCTGCACTGTAGGTGGGTCGTACCTTTCTGGAATTGGGAAGGGAAAAAAAGTTGAAACCATGAAGTATGTTCTCCTGATCTTCTTGTCCATCATAAAGAAGCCTACGGTGACACCAGGCTTTGTTTAAAGACCCATCCACTTGTCATTCCCTTCCCTCTCTGGGCTGGAAATCAGCTTTCAAAGAGAAGTTCCTTCCATCCAGCACATGAATTCACCTTCCTACCATGGAGAGAGAACAAAGAACCTTCTTCAGCCTTTTTTTTCCTCCTCTTTCCTGCCTGGAATTTTTAATTTTGGCCAGCAGAGCTTTTTCCTTTCCCAGACTGAAGAGGCAGCAGATCTCATGGTGCCTTTTTTTTTCACCTGGGCAGCATGGAGCCGCTGCCGCCTGCTCCCAAGCTCCCTAGACCTTTGGAGCTCCTATGTGAATGGTGTCAGCAGATTGTCCTACATGTGTGCTCGGGCCACCGCTGCACTCGTGGACCATCCGTGGTCTTTTTTGGCCCTTGCTCTGAAGCTGGGAGGCCATGCTCTGTGGTGTTCTTTCTTGCCCACCGCAGGGTCTTTCCCGGAGTGCTGCCACGTCACTTGGCCTTCAGAGCTTAGTTTTGGGAATCATGTGGTGGGAAAGTGGAAAAATCTGTCCCTGTGGGTGATTTCTGGTGAAGTCTAAAGTCCTGAATTCTCCTTTGTTCCCCAGGGTGGAGGGCAGGACCTGGTACACGTCCCACAGAGGGCGGTTATGGATTGCAGCTACTGCTAAAAGACCCTCCCCCCAGGAAATCGCCGAACTGGAGACCACCTACAGAATGCTCCTGCAGAAAGGTGAAGTCCTCTCCTCAGATCTTTGGGTTACCTGGTGCACCGAGCCCTCTCTGCTGACCTGTTGTTGCTATTCTGCTTCCAAGTCATACAGCAGGGTTGTCTGCTCCTTCCTTGGGGCATGGAGCTCCTCCTGCACCCCGTGTCCCTCTGGCAGAAGCCAAAGGTCTCAGTGTCTTTCAGTCTCCCACCCTGGTGAAGATCCTGAGCTGGAACAAGAACAATGGGGTGTTAAAATCATTCTAGGTTTTCTGGTTTTTCACTTTGTGAGTGCCTGGAGGGGAGGGAAGGGGGTTGGAAGACATCAGCTCTGGGTGTGGGGATATGGCTCCTGAAGAGAGATTTCTTTTGGTGCAGATGTGGAGTTTCCAAGCGATTATCCCCCGGGATGTCTCCTGGGCTGTGTGGAGGTGACCGATTGTTTATCACAAGAGCAGTTCAGTGAGCAGGTGAGTACAGGGAGCCAACTTTTACAAGCCACAGACTTCTAATGTAGTGGGACTACTCTGTGGCTGTGCTGGGTCGGGGAAGACAGGAACCTGCAAGGATTGAATGTTGTGTGGTGGCTTCTCCCTGGAGCTGGAGGTCGTGGTGGCCTCAGAAGTGACAGTTCTGCTCTGGCTGGGGCACTGAGTCACCAGGAGGAAGGAGCTGTGGGATGTTGTGAGCACCCTTCCACTTGGGAGGATGGACTGGAGAGCTGCAGGGTCTTCATGGAGACCCTGCAGAGAGGATGTCCAGAGCCTCTAGACAGAGGGACAGCTGGGGATGGTGATGCATCAAGACTCCCATGAGAGTCAAGGGATGTTTAAGAGGCCTCCTGAATGAGGCAGGCGATTTGGTGACCAGAGACAGTGAGATGTTTGACGCAGTGAGGCCTTCATCTCAGGCTTCAGCAGCAAGATGTCCCAGAGGTCTTGCCTAGAGGTAGAGACCAAGGAGAAGTGGGACAGCCTGTAGGGAAGGGAGACTGAGTTGGGAGCCTTTTGAGAAAGCTCAACCCCTACAAGTCTGTGGTTGCTGGTGATGTGCATCCACATGCGTTGGCGGATGTCTTTGCGAGGCCACTCTTGCCTCGGGAAGGTCCTGGAGATGAGGAGAGGACCTTGATGACTGTGGAAAGGCAACTACTGCATCCATCTTTAGAAAAGGAAGGAAGGATGATCCTGGACACTTCAGGCCAGTCAGCTTCACTTTGGTCTCTGGGAAATCCAGAGAGACATTCCTCTTGGTAGCCAATTTTGGGCACATGGAGGAGAAGGACACTGGGAATAGCTAGTGGATGTACCTAGGGGTAAAATCATGCTTGACTAACCTGGTGACCTTCTATATCCAACAGACAGAGTGGTTGACTGTCTTGCACTTTTTATTTAGCAAGGCTTTCAGCCTGCTCTCCTGTAGCAAACGTGGCCAGGAGGAGTCATTATGGCCTGGGTAGGTGGACTTCTAGGGTTAAAAACTGGCTGGGTCATCAGGCTGCAAAGTGCAGTGGCGGTGGCCTTGTAATCTCCTTGGAGGCGGTGCTCCTCGGGGCTTTTTCCTCAAACTTCTCCTCTTTAATACATTTAGCAATGACCTAGGGGGGGAAATCAGTAGAGGTGATTATTCCTCTCTGCTCAGCATTGGCTAAACCACATCTGGAATACTGTGGTCACAAAAAAGAGGTTGATGAGCTGGAATGAGGCCACTGGAGGCCACGGAGATGTTTGAGGGCTGGAGCACATGCCCTGTGAAGAAGAGCAGGGGAGCAGAATGACCTTCCACTTCCTGCAAGGAGATGACAGAGCCAGAACCAGGCTCTTTGCTGCTGGTAGTCAACCAAGACCATCTTGTAGGTGGAATAAATGAGTTCCTTGTGAAGGAGGAGGAGGTGGAGACACCAGGCTGCTGGGCATCTCCTTGCTGTGTGGAGTTTGAGCGAGGCAGCAGCAGCTGGGGGCTGCTTCTCGTGAAGTTCCCAACCCCTGTGAGGTTTTTTAGCAGTGAGAGGTGCCTGGAAACGAGAGATGCCAAAAGCATTTCTGATGAGGTCACATCTCTCCTGAGCCGTGGGTGGAAGGAGGAGAGGTTGGAGTACGAGCAGCAGAGGGAGCTTTGGGACAAGGATACGATGACATCTGGAAGAGTATTTAGGAGCAAGCCTGGGGAGGGTGAGAGGAAAGGACACTGGGACCAGCATCACGTTTTTCTTCTCTAGCATCCACCGATTTGCAGGTCGGTCTTAAATGGGCAAAGTATTTATAATTCCTAATATGTTGCCTTTTTATGGTGGTTTTGGCCATTTTTTCTCAGGATTGCTTTATCAAGGCCTGGCCCAGGCTGCCCAGGGCACTGGTGGAGTCCCCATCCCTGGAGGGGTTTCCAAGCCATGGAGATGTGGTGCTGAGGGACATGGGTCAGTGGTGACCAGGCAGTGCTGGACTTGATGATCTGAAAGGTCTTTTCCAACCTAAATGGTTCTGTAGTTCTATGATATTAGGTGGGTTGAATTCAGAGATCTGAGCATCTTTCTGGAGTTGCTTTAGGAGGAAACGTGTGATGAAGCCACCATGGAGCTTTGACTCACACCTCTCTTGCCGTTCTCAAGGGAGACCAAAACTCTTCCTGGTCTTATCCCTCCTCCACTCTTCCATGAGTTCTCTATCCTTTTGATGCTGTCACCCTCTCCCTGTTTAGTACCAGATGCAGATGGTTCCCTCCTGTTTACAACTTCTCTCGGGTTGCTGATGAAGACGTTAGTGGCACCTTGATGGTATTTTTCTATCATTATCCTCATTGAATTCTCCTTTTTTTTTTAATGTTAGTCCTCAAAACCCCAAATCAAACAACAATTCCCCATTTTGTTGGGTGCTGCACCAACAGAGTCAGGCTCAGACCCTGCCCCGAGCACTTGTGTTACTGTGAGAGACTTATTTCATGGAGTCGTGGAGTGGTTTGAGTTGGAAGGGACCTTAAAGATCATCTCATCCCAACACCCCTGTCATGGACCTCCCACTAGACTAGGTTGCTTAAAGCCCCATTGTTTGGTGAGGCATTGGCCGAGGCTGCCCAGAGAGGTAGTGGAGTCCCCATCCCTGGAGGGGTTCAAAAGATGTGTGGCGTGGCACTTGTGGACATGGTTTAGTGGTCATGGGAGTGCTGGGTTGACGGTTGGACTGGATGATCTTGGAGGTTTTTTCCAGCCATAGTGATTATAAGGGAGCAGAGGAAGAGCAGGAAGGAGATGTCCTTGTGATTAACATCACCCTTACGTCAGATGACATCACCTTAATCCCAGTTGTGCTGCTTCCTGGCTGAACTACTTCAGTTCCTTCCCACGTGGAAAATGAAGCAGCGCTTGGTTCTCAGGGGTTATTTACACCTCGTTGTACTGCTCCAAGCTTCGCTGCTTGGATTGAAGCTTCTCTAGGAGTTCCGGGTGGGTTGGAAAGTCCACCCTAGGTATCACCTGCTTCATCAGAAGCAAACCTGCTTTCTGGATTGAACCCTGGTGCTGAGCGCAGGCTCTTGGCTGGTGCCAGAGCCTCTTAAATCTCAGTGTTTCCAGTTGAGCTTTGCACATCTTGCACCTCCTCGGAGCGTGTTCTGGGCTCGTTTCCTTCTCTTCCTGGCAGCCACCCAAAAAACCCTTGGTGGAGACCAGAATGATCCCTTTGTTATGCTCCAAAGGTGACCTGGAAACTTTATTTCCCCCCCCCTCCCGCCATGGAGATTTGAACATTGACGTCACCAACACCCTGAGTGGAGACAGGAGCTGCTTGGCTTTTCCTACGTGAGGTGTTGGTGACCTCAGCTGGGGAGATGCAGGATGAGGTGGGCAGGGCCTGGCAGGAGGCTGAAGCTGTTTCAGTGTCCTCTGGATGGGGACTTTGATCCTGGAGACTGTAACTGGAAAAAGAATGTTTCCACTGCTGCTATTTTAGTAGTCACTAGGTGTGATTGGACTTGCTTGGGATGGGAGCACACACCCGTGCTGATATCTAGATGCAGATATGATCTTGGGCTGAAAAATTGGGTAGCTCTGTCTGATGGGAGGAAAGTGGTTGTTTTTTACTTCTAGGTGTCCACTTAGCATCCTAAATCTGCAGGAGGGAACACGTCCAAGCTAATTTTGTGCCACAAGATTGCAACTGTCATTCAAAGACAATTAAAAGGTCCAGAAAAGGGCAAAACGAAGCTGGTGAAGGGTCTGGGGAACATGTTTTCTGAGGAGTGGCTGAGGGACCTGGGGGTGTTTAGCTTGGAGAAGAGGAAGCTGAAGGGAGACCTTCTTGTGCTCTCCAACTCTCTGGCAGGAGGCTGGAGTGAGGTGGGTGTTGGTCTCGTCTCCCAAGGAACCAGCAATAGGGTGAGAGGCAATGGGCTGAAGTTGCCCCAGGGGAGGTTTTGGATGAATATTTGGAAGAATTTCTTCCCTGGCAGAGTGGTGAGGCCTTGGCCCAGGCTGCCCAGGGAGGTGGTGGAGTCCCCAGCCCTTGAAGGGGTTAAAAAAAACATGTGGACATGGCACTTGGGGAGATGGTTTAGTTAAACATTCATCTGGCGTGTGGATGAAGCTTCACTGGGTTTCCCGCCGCGTAAAGTCCCCCCTGGTTGGTGGTTCTGGGAGCAGAGGAGACCTGCAGCTGGTTCAGCTGATGGACAGTAAGAGCTGGGGGAGTTTTTCCTTCGGTGAAGCGCTTTGGTTTCCATCAGAGCCTCTCCTCAGGCTCCAGAAGCCAGCAGGTTTCCTGAGGCCACTGCTCAGGCTGTGAAGATGAAGGACGGATTGTCACTTGATGATGATTAATTTAGGAATGCATTAACATGCCAAGGAAATCGAATGATAGAGGCTCGCTTGCCCTCTCCTCCGCTTTCCTAGACCCTAGGGATGAAACCAAGCCAAGGCTGAAGCAGATGACTTAATTAATGATGACTGTGGACTTAGCCTCTGCTACCATTTCAGCAAAACCAGGCAGTGATCTGAGATCTCTGTGGATGGCTTTGCAGCTCTGCCTTAGGAGGGGATTTTAGGAAGCTGGTTGAAGGTGTCTGATGGAATGAGAAGCAGGTGCCCTGTTTTCCCCCCTATCTCCTCCTCCCGTCACCTCTTTGCTCCTCATGGGATGAAAATGGCTCTTCCCTCTGAGCCCAGTACACCGCCGAGCATTTTTCCAAGCCCACCCAGTTCCTCCCAATGGTTGTGAGGCCCCCCATGAACATCTCATGCCCTCCTCGTGCTGCTTGTGGGGTCCACCACAAGCAGGGGCTTCCCCAGGTGCGGATTTGAGCTGCGAAAGGGTGGTGGTGGCTGCAGGACCTGCAACACCACGAGCTCTCCAGCTCTCCCCACGGGCTGCTCGGCCATGTAAATCCCATTCCGTCTCCATCTCCAAGTCCTGTTGGGACTTCCCACATCCCGATGACTCCCTTGGAACCCCAAGGATTCCGCCGCAACGCGGCAGAGCTG